TGTGGTATTCCAATTAGAAAACAGACATGAATACATGTTGCTAACTCAATTTTTGTTATTTGGTTATTATATTTAAAACCTCCACACTGCAGAGGCAGTGTCTAAGAGGTCTGTTCGATTTCTAATCATGTGTAATCATATTTTTATTGCGTTCCTTCCAAACTTTATATAACCCATTGTTTCTAAAAATTTTTTTCTTTTTTTTTCTTTCATAACTATATAGAAGCAATTCTTTCAAAAGAATAGCAGCAAATTCTTTGAAAGGAACAATTAAGGGACATTGGAAAAGTTAACTATATACATTCTGCCATATTTTTCTTTTTTAAAGATTCATTCAGAGTTTTCACAAGTGAAACTAAAAAAAATACTTCAGAGGAATATATAAAGTATTAAATATGTGTCATTTTCAAATTTGATACAGGGAAAATTAACAAATCAAAACCAAAAACTACTCACCAACTTACTAAAATAAATCAGTTTCTAAAGGATCCGGAAATTGTTGAAGGAATAATGACATGTAATCTTGGAAGTTTCTAGATATAAAAAGTTGAGGTCTGTGGACTTTAAAGTTTAAATCACATTTAGTTTAGTGAGTTCTTAAAAAAATTGACATTGTAACAGGACCCAATATCCAGCTGTTCTGTGGCCAAATCTGTCTCTTTATCCCAAAGGGAAAAATTTGCAGAAACATGTTGCCAGTTCGCTTTTATTCCATACTGATCAAATACCTTACTCTTAATTTTTAAAATGTAAAACAAGCAACATGTTTTAAAATCTTGGGTCAATTAATATTATATATTTTATAATTTCCAAATATTTCAAAATACTAAAATGCATGGATTCGTTGGTTTGCAGTTTTTAGTAATACAAAAGAAAGGGGCAAGGTGTGAATATAGCATCTTTGGGTTTAGGAAATGTGTTCAGCAAGTAAGCAGGCAGGAATATACCTTCATTTGTCATTGGCTTGGGCATTGGTGGGCTACAGAAAGCAAATGTCAGGTGTCATCTCAGAACAGGCAAGAGATCTATACACATACCCAAACACAGCTTCATCCTAAAATGGTGTGGTTTTTCCCAGAAATATTAACTGAATTTAGGATCAGCATACCACCATATGATGCAATAAAAGATTAGCAGTTTTGTTCTTTATGTCATGCTATGTGATTCTTTTGAACAATAACAGCAAAGTATTTACTTTTCTTCTTAGGTGAAAATTAACATGTGGAAGCATGAGTGTGTGTATCATGGGTGTCAATTTGCACTGTAATATAATGTTAAAATAAGGCAGAATTTAGCCTAACTTCAGGGTTTAAATTGAAAAGCATTTTTAAGTGGAGTGTTTAAATATTGGAGCACTGTAATTTTGAAATCCATTTGAAAGTAAAGATTTAGTGTGATTTCCTATTTACTACTCAACTATAACTTGTTTAGTTGTTGCTTCTACTGAATGATTGTGAACCAACTGAAAAGAATAAATTATATTCTTCGGAATAATTGTTCCAAAATAGACATTTAGAGGTTCTAGACATTGTTTCGAGGTCAAGTGAATAATCTGAATGACTTTTGTAGATTACACTTGCTTTTGACCCCATATGGATGGCTATGGGATATGCTTTCTTCCTGGTGACTAAGATGATGGCAGCTGACCCTGATGAGGTCCATTCATTACTTGGATGCTACCAAGAGTGCAGGGCTCCTCAAAACAAGACCTAACACAGAGATGGGGAGCAAAAAAAAAGTGTGAGAGCACTGCTTGCTCACTAGACTCAACCACCTTGTCACTGGAATAACTAAGGGAGAAAGATTAAAATAATTTTAGTCGGTGCACATTACGTGGAATTCACACTACTCCTTGCTATCTGTTAACACAGGCATAGTCCTTACGTTTCCAATATCTACTCATTCACTGTTGCAAAGTGAAAAATAAGTTCTGTCCTAACAATGACAACAAAAATCAGTTTGAAAATAAAAATTCTGGCCTCTTGATACACTGAATAGAAATACTATAGGAACAAACACAGGAAGATAACAATGGACAGGTACATTTTATTTCTACCTTACAAACTCCTTCATTCCAAATAGAGTTCTACAACACAAGTTTTCCCTAATTGCACAGAGAGTCTGGTCAATAAATCCAAGTGAGAAAACTAATATTGGAATCACCGGGTTCAGGAAGCCAACTGAAAAAGTTGCTACATTAAGTTATCTGCAGACTGATCCACGATGGATGGCTACCCTGAATGTAAGCATTCCCTCAGCATGGTATTGCCAAGATTATGACATCACTCTTTGCTTTTTACTATTCATGTTACCACATGAATGTTCAATAGACCCAGGACAAATAAAATGAGGGTCAGGGCTTCCCTCATTCTTAGAAGGATATTTTTGAATTATATATTTTGTTACATCTTAAGAGATAAAAGCTGTGTCTGCAAGTGATTGAAAGATGTTTTATATTCATGGTTTCATTTCTGCTGAAATAAATGCATAATTTAAACCACACATAATTCCTAGCAATTTAGGCCCATTACAGAGTTCTAGCTTCTTTTTTATGATAGTTACTAATTAAAACAGGGTGTTGCTGCCACGTGGAGCCTGTGACTTCCACATACAGGTTTAATGAATAAAATGTCTTGACATAAAAATGAAAACAATAGAGACAAAGCTGCAAGCTGTTGTGTTTCTAGTGTATGGTAAAGATTAAGGACCTTCGCTGAAGTTAAGAATTATGCAGAGAAAACACTTGTTAATTTTGTTCTTTAAAGGAAGAATTAAAGGATTTTTTAGTGAAATCTGAAATAGTCACTAATTTTTCTAACTTCTGGACCCCTCGTTCCCAGCTGACTCCTCCTCCCAAATAGTTTAAACTCATCAGAGTCACTTTTAAAGGATAAATGATGGGATATTTTAATGTAATCCTGCATATAGGTTTAGATTGAAAATGGGAATTGGGACCATAATTAATTATGTTGCCAAGTTTTTTGAACTTTAAGGAGACAGACTGAGGCAAACGAGGGCATTTCATAATACCGCAACCTTCTAAAAGTTCATGGGTTAAAACTTTGGTAAAATGACAGTATCTTTTTGACATTTAATTAATTCGATATGCAGAATAAGTGTGAGGAATTAATACCCTTTTGGTGTATTCACTTTCTGAAACCACTGTTGTAAGAGACTGACACAAAATCAAAACCAAATATAAACAGGGTCTTCAGCTGGGGTATGGCCTTATTATCACACTTAATAAACAATAATTAATAATGATAAATACTGAGAGCCCTCAGTACACTCTGCTCTCGCATCCATCCATCACATCTTTCAGGATAATAAAACAATTCAATCCCATCAAATCCTCAAAACCGCTCCCTCTGGAGGGATGTTTTATCTCTACTTCTGCCAGCCCAGGGAGGATTTTACTTGTTCAAAGGGGGCGGAGAATGGAGCGGGGGTCCTATTTATTTCCATTGACGACTCCCCTGGTTCTCACAGGCGCTCAGGGACCGGGTGGGAGGAAAAAAGGAGGAGGTGCGGAGATTCCCTCCTTCAGAAAAGAAAAAGGGTTCAGGAAGTGAGGCAAAAGAATGGGTGGGCGAGGGCGGTGGGGGGAAGAGGGTAGTGTGTTTGGAGAGGTCAGCGACTAAATGAAAAAATAAATTGTTTTTTGATATAGCAGGATAGAATGATGATGATAAGTAGACAAATTAACCAGCACAACTAAGTTGCTAAAAGGAACTATGTTAAAAAAAAAAAAAAAATCAAACCCAGAGACATTTTCTCAGGTTCATTTCTCGCTCAAGGTCTTGGTTTCAGGGAGCTCCTTGTACCCAGAGCAGGAGATGGACAGCGCCCCGAAGGGGACCCGGAGGGGAACCGCGACCTGGCCCGAAGGACAGCTCAGCGCCCTTGCAGAGGTGCCCGCGGCAAACTCCAAGGGCCTCGGCGACCCGCGTGGACCTGGTGCTGGGGGCTGCGGCGAATTCTCCAGCCCCGGGCGGGGGTACAGGGGGGAGGGGGCAGGAAGGGCGCACAATGAAACGAAACCGCACCCTAAATTGTGCAGTTTGCGAAGTGTCCCAGGAGAACAGCTGGGACCTGGAACCACTCGTTCGGATTCCTGAGTGTCGGGGCCGCGCCACCTCTCTGCTCGGTGGTACTGAAGGTCGCGCCAACTAGAGCGGACACCGACTGGTGCACAGACAGGGCTAGGGCACTACGCCCTGTCGGCTGGGTCTGGGGCGGGAGGGAAGGTCCCCTCGGTGGCTGCTCTGGTACCCCGGCAAAAACAGGATCAGGTTCCAGGCCTCCCTGCCCAGCTCGAGGAAGTTTCTCTAACGATGCTCGCCTAGTCGGCAGAGGACTAACGAGGAGCCAAAGCGGTGGGGGTTCAGTTGGCGGAAGGGGACCGAGATCTCAGAGCCCCGGCTGCGGGGCTGGGGGCCGCCCGCCAGGAAGCCGCTCCTGCCCTGCCCGCGGGCGAGCCCCAGGCGCAGTCCAGACCCCTCGCTTTTCGTCCCACACTCACGCGCCTCCAAGACCCCAGTCCCGCAGACTTTCTCTAGAGGAGGGTAGAGGGCATGAACCGGAGGGGGAGGCAGCAGCTCTCCCGGCAGGCGGGCAAAGTAAGTGTCCAGGCCAAGTCCGGGATAAAGGTTCCGTGGCTCTCCGGACTCCGCCGCGCCCTGGGCACCGGGAACCCAGTGTCCCCGGCCTGTGCACGGTCTCTCCACGTCTAACACCGTTCGCGCCGCCCAGCCACGAAGCCAGCGTGGAAAACCGAGAGAGACCTGCTCCACGCCCCTTAAGCCCTCGGCTCCTGGGGATCTGGTGCCCTCGTCCAGCGGTGACGGAGAACCTCGCTGGGTCCCTCTGACTTAGGGGACGCGCGCCTCCACCCCCCATCCCAGATGAGCCCTCGGGTGTGAACACTCCCTGTGCCAGGTCTTGGGGTGGCGGGCTAAGGCGTCGGGGCGTCAGGAGTTTGCTTTCCTCTCGCTACTTACCTTACAAAAATCTGTTTGATTTTCCTGGGAGGGGGAGAGGAAAAATCCCTCCCCGAGGTGTGGTGTGCGAAACAGTCCACGTCCCCGGCACCGGCCAAGATGCTAAGCACCAGTACTCAGGAACCGAAGGGGCTGGGAGGCGGAGGAGGAGGCAAATAAAAGAGAAAAATCAAATCGGCCGAAGTGTCCCAACTTTGCCGTGGGCGCTGCAAACTTCAAAGGCGGGCGAGGCTCGCGGCGCGCGGCCGCCGAAGTTGCTGCGAAGTGGAGCGGGGAGAAGCGCGGGGCTGGGGGATCCCGGGACAGAGCGGGGAAGTGGCGGGAGGTCCTTTTAAAAGGCGGGGAGCGTGCGGGGGCTGGGCGGCGGGAGGATGCTGCCGAGCCCAGCGGGGCTGTCGCGGGCTCCGCGGGCGGCCGCTCGGGGCACCGGCGGCTGGCTGGAGTGCGACGCAAGGAGAGCCGGGCGCGCGGCGGCAGCGGGTGCGCGGCTCGGTTCGCTCCGCTCTCTCGCGGCTCCGAGCGGGGAGTGTGTGTTCGCTCCCGAGTGTCACTGCTGAAGCCCAGAGCCGCTCCCCCTCCCGCCCCACCGCTGCCCGCCCGCCCCCTCCCTCCTCTGCCCGATGCCTCCCCCTTCAGTTCCTCCCTCCCTTCCGCTGCGCGCCACCGCGCGCGCGCGCGCGCGCAAACACACACACACACACACACACACACACACACACACGCACGACCCAGCGCTCGCCAAACAGGGACCCGCGGGCGGCATCGCAGGGGACACCCCACCGTCCTTACCGCCCCCCGTGTCACGAGGAAGAAGAGGGAGACCCACCGAGACCCCCTCAAAGCCACAAAACCTAGGGAGAGGCGTACGCTGGGCCATCGCACCGTCAGAGAGACCCGGGTGCACAATAAGGGGGAACTCTGGGGTTGATGGGGTGGGGGAGTGGAGAGACGAGCTAAATCCAGAAGGTTGGAGGCGGAAAGCAGAGTGTGCAAACTGTGCATTCATGTCCCACTTTTCACCCGACCGCCTGCCTACCACAGCCTTCACTCAGGGAGCGCTTCCCCCTCAGCGCACACCGAGCCTCCTCCGTTTTGAAACTCAGCAGCTGTTTTAACAATTGAAAAGCGGCCCTACAGGACCAGTGAGAGACGGAGCAGAGTGTGTGAAGCCATTAAGGCTGACTAGGTAATTATGATAAGAAGTTATCTAATTAGCAACCTGGCCAGGGCATAGAAAAAAGGCGGGGGGCGGGGGGAGGGGAGTGAGTGATTTAGTGATCTCATTTTCCCAAATGCGAACCTAGTTTCCAGCAAACCTGGTTTTTATACTCTCGAATTTTAAGTTCTTAGAGCATAGTTTATTAAGATAGAGTGTCAGTATTGAAAGTGTAAAAAATACTTGCCCTCTTCTTATTGCCACCGAGAAATGGAGATAAATAAGATGAAAATCAGCCTTACCGAGGTCATATGAACAACTATGATCTTTTTGTTAAATACCTGGTCACAGGGGGCGGTGCAATGAGACTCCCGAAGTTTTGTGGCACCTAGGTGAGAATACTGCTGTAGATGGATTTATGAAACTGTTTTTACTCCACAAAGTAGTTTTGTAAAAGCCATGGAACGTTTAGACGGCAAAAGAGATGTTGATATCACCATGCAAGTTTGCTTATTTATTTATTTAGGATATGAGACAATGAGGTGGGAAAAGGGGATCTCTTGGGCTCTGCTCAGAAGATCTGGAGAAGTGACTCCAGCCCTTACTTAACAGATGTGACCCAGAGCTGGTCCTTGGGCATTCATTAACAAACATTTATTAAGTGCCTACTGTGTACTATGTATATCTTTGTGCTGTGATTTCAAGGTAAGACAGAGTGTGAGCTGACTTTAAGGAGCTCACAGCCTGGTGGGGAGACAGAGGCATTAATGGAAGTAGAATATCCCCATAATAAATGTACCTGTTGGGTACATTTCTGTGTAGGACCATTGGAAAGGAAACAGCTAATTCTTCCTTAGAATACTCTTGATAGAGATTTTAGTGTAGAGTCCTGAAGGATGAGGAAGAGAATGCAAGGCAAATAAGGATGGGGAGGGAAGAGCATTCCACAGAGAAAAGCAAGTGAAGAGGTTAGGAAAGTGTTAAAGTACTTGAGGTATGTCCTGGGAACTGGGAGAAGGTAGGTATGGTAGATTGCAGCTGGAAGTAAGCATGGCCAGGCCACACCAGGCTCTACAGGCCCAAAGAGCCAAAATTCTCTCCTGAAGGTGGTGCATGCCTGGGAAACTATTAAGGGCTTTATGCAAGGACGGATGATAAGGTTTCTGTCATCCAATAAGAGTTTTAAAAAGTTTTGTCTGCTCTTGTTGTGGAAGACAAATAGGAGAGAGATGGCAGTGAGGAGGTTATTTCCAGAGAAAAAGTTAGGGCTCAACTAAGGCAATGGAAGTACCAGTTGGGAGGTTGGGACAGCTCTAGAGATATTTCAGAAATAGAACAGACAGGACCTAGTGGTTGATTGGATATAGAGGGTAATGGAGAATAGGAGTAGTCTAGACTGACCTGGAGGTTTCTGGTTGGGGCAAGAAGGAAGGAGATGGTGCTATTTGCCAAGAGAAACAACATATAGAGAGGAGCAGTTTTGGTAGGAATGTAATGAGTTCTGTGTTAAATTTCTTGAGGTGGGGCCGAATGTGGGATAGCTGAGTGCAGCACTATTTAGGCTGTTGGAAGGAGTGCTCCTAAGAGAGAGGATCCAAGCTGGAGGATCCACGAGGAATCATCAGGATTCAGGTATTTCTTAAAGCCAAGAAGAAGAAGAGGGCAGCCAGGAAGAGACTTAGAATGGAACACGGCAGAACACCAATGTTCCATCCATGTAAGAGTAGATGGAGGAAGAGGAGCCGGCAAAAGAAAGAGATGGAGACCAGAGAAGGAGATGGAAACTGGGGGAGAGCAAGATTGATGAAGCCAAGAGAGGAAGGGACTGTTGACCAGTGCAGAATGTGGCAGAATGATCAAGGCAGCCAGACTGAGAAGCAACTGCCACTCCTTCAAATGTCCCAGTGATCTTCACCTAAGCAATTGTAGCTTATAGTATATGCGTGTGAGAGATCCAGATCATAGCAGGTAGACAAGGTGGGACCATGGGGTCAGAGAACACAAGCTCATTTTCCTAGCAGCTTGGCCTTGAGGGAAAGAGGAAAAAGTTACAAGAAAAGCACTCGTGTAGAGGTTGTACTTTTGTTTGCTTTTCTTATGTGAGACGCTTGGTCTTAATTTCATGATACTGAGGGAAAAGCAAGTGGAAAGGGAAAGGCTGAGAAGTCTATGAAGTTCTCTGAGGGTCAGTTCCCTCCTCAGTATGGACAGGGTACCCTCCCTGGCCCGTGAATCTCACAGAGTCAGTGGGGAGTTTGAATAAACCAGAAATTGAGATAGTACTTTAAAATTGCCGTTAGGAAGAAATGGAGTCCAAAAGGTGTGAGAGTGACTTATCATTAATGCAGACAATTCATGACAGACCAAATCTATGTGACAAGTTCTGTAAGAACTCTGTAAAGGATATTTTTATGAAAGTTCCTAAAAATATTTCTGTTTTGAACATCAGGATATCAATAGATCTTTCTTCTCGAATAATATGTATGTCTTAAATATCTTCAGACTTGGGTGATGTGCCGTGTTAGAACATGCATTATTTAGTCAGACAGACTTGTATTTAATTCTAGACTCAGGTAATTATTTGCTGTGGGGTAAATAGGTTAGCCTCACTGAGCTTCAGTGTTTTGTTTTTTCAAGTATAAAAATGGAACAAATTATAGCTGATTTCCAGGTGTTTTGCGAGGATGAGGTAGTATGCCATATTGAAGTGTTTGGCAGAGATTTAGTTATTATTTCTGAAATTACTTTTAGATTATGAAATTTATTGTTATTTAATTGGGGGGAAAAGCCCAAAATGATTATAAAATTAAGAATATAATTAAAGTCTGTGTAAGAGAACTCTTGGTTCAAGCCTGTGTCTTAAAGTAGCAATCCTCAAAGTATGGTCCATAGGCCCTTTGGGAATTCCTGAGACCCTTTCAGGGAGTTCTGCAAGGCCAAAGCTATTATTATGTTAATTCTAAGATGTTAATTTTCTTTTTTTTTTTACTATGTTGACATTTGCACTAATAGCACAAAAGCAACGGTGAGTAAAACTGCTAGCACTTTAGCATGAATCAGGACAGTGGAACCAAACTGTCCTAGTAGTTGTAGTCTCCCCGTCACAAATGTCACTTTCACTTAAAAATGTCTTTGATGAAGCAGTAAAACTTATTCATTTTATTAAGTTTAAACACTTGACTCTGTCCTTTTACTATTCTGTGTGGCAAAATGGAAGGCACACATAAAATTCTTCTGCGGCATCCCAAAGCACAGTGTTAGTCTTGAATTAAAACCCTCAGGTAATTGGGTTGTGAGCTAAACTAGCTGCCTTTTTTCATGAGACATATTTTTACTTGAAAGAACAACTGACAGACAAGCTATGGTTATTTACACTTGGATGTTTTGCAAATATTTTTTTTCAAAACAAATTAAGTGAGCCTGTCACTTCAAGGTAAACAACTGGAAGTATTTATTTTCAATGAAAAATATGGGCTTTCAAGTAAAAAACAGAGAATTTAGAAAACTTGTCTCTGCCACCATGAGCTTGGTAGCTTTCCTATATTCAAAGTCTTTTGTATTAAGATTGTGATCATTTTAATTAATGTGTTTTTGGTATTGTAAAGCAAAAAGTATTTCTTTAAAGATTTTATTTATTTATTTGAGAGAGAGAGAATGAGAGAGAGAGAGCATAAGAGGGAAGAGGGTCAGAGGGAGAAGCAGACTCCCTGCTGAGCAGGGAGCCCGACATGGGACTTGATCCCAGGACCCTGGGACCACGACCTGAGCTGAAAGCAGTCGCTTAACCAACTGAGCCACCCAGGCGCCCCAAGTGAAAAGTATTGACATTTGGAATATCTTCATGACTCAGTGAACCAGTATTTTCCAAATGACCAATGACGGATGATGTTATAAAATCATTCGTGAGTTAAAAGATCCATTCAAAGTACAAGATAGATCGAAGAATTTTAATATAATGGAGTATGAAAATTTAGCTGACACAGTTTCATATTCCACACTGAAATTAGAAGGTTTAAGAAACTACCACTTGTTGAATTTTGGTGTAGCATCAAAAAAGAATATCCAGAATTATTAAAAGTGTTACTAAAATGCTGCTTCGTTTTCCAACTACACATCTGTGTGAAATGGGATATTCTTCATCTACTTCAAACAAAACAACATACTGCAATACAGATTGAATATAGAAGTGATATGAGAATCCAGCTGTCTTCTACTAAGCCAGACACTAAAGGGACTTGCAAAAATGTAGAACAATGCCACTTTTCTCACTAAATTATTTTCTTTGGAAAATATAGTTATTTTCAGAAAAAAATGTTATGTTAACATGTAGCAGATACACCATAGTTACTTTAAAATA